CATCTGTAAGAGGAAGCCAATCACACACACTGCCAGGTGGGAGTGCCACCTTCTCCATGTGTGTAAGTTACTTTACTTCCCTCAGTGTCCGCATCTGTAAGAGGAAGCCAATCACAGCTCTTACCCCACAGGGCTGTTGCAACAGTAACTGACTCTGACAACCATCAGTAAACACAGGAGAAACGTCATTTCCCCGAGAGGACACCGGTGCTGCAATAGACAGGAATGAGCAGGGACTGGCTGCTTCTGAGCTTTCCTCACCTTGCTGGTACAATACATCCGAGCTCAGTTCCTGATGTGACAGCCAGAGTGGAAGGGGTGTGTACCCACCAGCAGGAAAGCACACCAGGAAGCAAAATGAGCTGGGGCTGAGCGAGGCTGGCTACCGACGGGGTAGGGAAGGAGCCAGGGGTCAAGCAAGATTGGCTTCCACCCACCAGGATGCATAAGGAGCCAGGGCTGAGCAAGGCTGGCTCCCGAACACCGGGACATGGCATGCAGGAGCCAGGGGCCGAGCGAGGCCAGCTCCCTGCCCTGCGCATGTGGTGCTCACTGTGCCTATGGCTCCAGCAGCTGTCACAAGTGTTCCTTTAGCCTCTTCATGCCACATTCTGTGGTTTTTCATAAGCAACAGCCCCTGATACCAGAGTGGGGAGCCAGCCCCTCTGACGGGACTGAGCACTTCTCCCAGGGCTCTCATCAGAGCAGATGATCCTCCGGGAGGGAAGCGTTCCGACGGCAGTGATAAAGTCTCAGGCCTAAGCTTAAAAATGTTATCTCCTCATCTGAAAGCCTGACCTATGTTATAAAGAAATAAAATTCCAGGGAATTCTCGCCAGGTGGTAGTGTGACTCACGAGGAAGGACTAACCCAGTGCTGTCCTGTCAGTTTCCACAGCAACCCTGTAGGACAGAGCAGAACCGCCCCACAGGGTTTCTGAGGCTGCTGTATCTGTCTCCCATGGAGCGCTGGTGGGATTGAACCGCCAGCCTTTCAGTTAGCAGCTAAGCACTTAACCATCACGCCACCAAGGCTCCTGAGAAGGGACTTTCTGCCTGGAAACAACCCACCAAGAAACCTGGAGACACTGCCTAGAATCGCTGTCACCGCGTTGATCTCAGCTGACAGAGCCAGAGCCCCTCACGCTCCTCCTGTCTGCTGGCCTGGCTCATGCTCACATGGCCCCTCACGCTCCTCCTGTCTGCTGGCCTGGCTCATGCTCACATGGCCGGTGGCAGACAGCTCTCTGCGGTCAGAACAGGGATTTCCTGGAGTTTTGTTTTAATTACCTTTAGGGAATTTTTACATCTAATGGGAAAAATGAGGAGCCTGGATGGCTCCACAGTTAAGTGCTGGTCTGCTAATTGAAAGGCTGGTGTTTCAAACCCACCCAATGGCTCCTTGGCAGAAAGACCTGGCAGCCTGCTCCCATAAAGATTATAGCCCAGAAAACCCTACGGGGCAGTTCTACTCTGGTACGTAGGGCCTCATGAGTTGGAATCAACTTACCAGCACCTAATAACACAACAGGGAAGATGCCTCCAGATAAACCAAGCCCCGGGCCAGGCAGGCAGGCCTGCACCACCAAGTCTCAGATGCTCTTAGATTAGGAAGGGGTGTAAGGGAGAAAGACAGCCCTCCAACCGGGAGCCCTGCTGACACGTGAACACAGAGCTACCTGGCTGGTTCATGAAGTCACAGTGGCCCAAGCCCGCAATGTCTATCCTCTTCATGAAGAGCACCATGCTGGTCAGGTTGGCCTCCTGCATTTGTGCTGGCTGGAGGGGCTTCATGTCTCTGGAGGCAAACTCTTCAGAGTAGAGGCAGAAGAGCTTGCCTGGAAAAAAGTAGGGAGGGTGGCTGTCACGCATCTCTGCCTTCACGCCAGGAGCCCATCATTCTGCCCTGGTGCCCCTCGTGCTACCTGAAGACGACGGGCCGAGAATCTGCTTGCGGATCTCTGCTTGGCTCTGGCTGATGGGCTGCATGACAAGCGAGTCGGCTCTTATTCTAGGGTTGTACACCTTTCAAGGGAGAGATGGCATCTTTAGCATCAGGTCACTCAAGGGTCAGCACTCACTGGCCAGCTGCAGCATGACACTTCATGAAATGCTCTGCTACAGACTCATTTTCTTTGTATGGTATTTCTTATTGCTTCACTTGCCTCAAAATGGAAACTCAAGTGGTGACGAATGCATCTAAAGGGTCTGCTTTCCTTTGGCTTCAGTAAGTATAGGACTTGTGCATAGCGCTCTACTCACAACACACTATACTGGGGAATGGCAGCAGATTCCATATGCCACAGAGAAAGGACTCTCATCTGACAGCAATGTGCTTCCCCAAAGTTCTGCTCCAATCCCCAGCACCTTCCTTCCCAACATACACTGAGCTTCAGACTCTACCAGCTCATGTGAAAATGACACATGGCATCAACTGTGATATTTGAGCAAAGGTTTTGGAGGGTGAGCGAGAGTCCTGTGTTCTCAGAATGGTGAGTGAGGCAATCAAGATCAACCCCAGCTGGTTCCCAGGAGCCTTCCTCATGGTTGGGACCACTGTCACAGCGAGACAAGGCTGTTTACAAGACCCGCTGTCTCCTGGAGGGACAAAGTCCATCCAACATCTGAAACTGCTTGGCAGGTTCCTCTCAGCTCTCAAATGCAGCTACACCTTCTGAAGTTCCAGTGTCTCTGACACTTTGAGATGCCCTATTTCATTTTTCCTAACTTTTTAAGGGTAGTGATAAATATATATCTATATTTATATATAGATATATATGTATGTACACACACACACATATATATGTGTGTGTGCGTGTTTAAAATTTAGGATGGAATGTATTGTGTCAATTATAAAATCAAAAGTTGCTAAAATTCAGTACTTTAAACTAATTTTTAATAAATTTCCTGGGGGAAGATGTTAATTACTTTGATAAAAGTGTTACCAAAAAATTCCAAGTAGATGCACATGAGGAAAGATAGGAGTCAAACAGTTTGCTTTGTTAGTACTTTAGCTAAGAAAAAGGAGCTCTGGTGGCCCAGTGCTTAAAGCATTTGGCTGCTAAGCAAAGGTCTGTGGTTCAAACCCACCAGCCACTCTGCAGGAGAAAGATAAGGCAGTTGGCTTCCACAAACACTGACAGCCTCGGAAACCCTCTGGGGCAGTTCTGCTCTGTCCTCTAGGGCCACTGTGAGTCAGAACTGACTCCACACAAAAACCAAAACAGTCAAACTCACTGCTGTTGAGTTGATCCGATTTGACTCATAGCGACTCCTCCTTGGGTTTCCGCAGAGGTATCTCTACAGAAGTAGATTGCCCAGTCTTCCCTCCAAGGAGCAGTTGGTGGGTTTGAACCACCAGCCTTCTAGTTAGCAGTCAAACGCCTTAGGCATTATGCCACCAGAGCTCCCCAACTCCACGGCAGTGGGTTTGGTTTGGGCTTTGCTTCCATAGAAAT